GTTTCCCTTTCACTGGAAAAGGGAACTGTAGCTGCTCAGATATTATCCTACACTAAAAATGTGGGAAAAAAACCCAACCCCAATGAGCCTTTTTTCTCCTCAACACCAAAGTCCTATCTTGTTTGTTTGTTTGTACCTGACTTCACTGGTTGAGACACTCATTTTACCAAGGCTATATGTAGCTACTCTGAGGCATCTAGGTGGCACAGTGGATAAGATGGCTGGGTCTGCAGTCAGGAAGATTGGAGTTCAAATCTGGTTTCAGATATTTATTAGCTCTATGACTCTGGGCAAATAACTTAAACACAATTTGCCTCAGTTTCTTCATCTGTAAAGTGGGAATGATAGCACCCACCTTTCAGGGTTGTTGTGAAGATCAAATAAAATAGTATTTGTAAAACACTTAGCATGGTGCCTGGTCTACACTATGCATTATATAAATGTTAGTTTTTGTTACTGTTATTATTATTACTCTACATATTCATCTTAAAGAGCTATGTAGAACACTGAGTGGTTAAATAATTTGTCCATGGTTATACAGCTAGTAAGAGTCAAAGGCAAGGCCTGAATGCAGGTCTTCCTGATTCTGAAGCCGGTTCTCTATCCACTACACCATGCTGCCCTTCAGTTTTATCACTCTAAAAATACAAGTCATGTACAATTCAAAAAAACAAAAAAAACCCAAAAAACAAAATTAACATATTTCAGCCTCATAAAATACACAAACATATGCCTATATGAGAGAACAAGAATTTTTTTGGTGGGGCGAAGTACTTACTGTACCATGGGATATTGTCAGAAAACCGTTTTTAACTGAGCATTTCCTTTTTTGCCATACTTTTCTGATCCTGTTTTTAAAAAGAACACAAAAATTGAGTCTCAAATTTAATACAAATAGTATAAAAAAAAAATTCCATTTTGCAAAATACTTGACTCACCCATCACTTTTCTTGTAGAGATTACCATTCCTTTCAGTCCCATGTTCTTTATTTCCCTGAGGTTGGTGTAAACTATAGGTTGTACTTTGCCGAATTTGTGAATCCTAAAAAATGGTGAAGAAATCATAAATTAATAGGTAATTAGTATTAAAAGAGACCTCAGAGATCATGTATTACAATCCCTTCAACAATTACTATTACTATTTTTTTGGGGGGGGAATTGGAGTTAAGTGACTTGCCCAGGGTCACACAGCCATTAAGTGTCAAGTGTCTGAGGATGGATTTCCGGTGCTCTATCCACTGTGCCACCTAGTTACCCCTCAACAATTATTTTTAACTGAATGGACTCCCTTCCTACAAAAACAAATCACTTTTCCCCCTTACTTCATGACACACCAAATTCAGACCAAAGGTATATTTTATTTCATATTCTTTACTAGGAAAGGAAGACGGCAGCTCACTCTGAGACACAGAAGAATTTATAAGAACCGTTCAACACAACAAGGGATGTAGGGATAATAACAGCACACCCAAACCTTCTGGCCAATTACTGATCTAGATGTCACAGAATGTGGCTTCCTAAGGCTTGTCTGAGGTCCCTGAGGATAAAGTTTCATTTAGTTTCCTGTCTCATAGTTTTTTCTACACCTGCCCCACTATGAGTAAAACAGCCCTCAAAATCAACAGTACTCAAGGTAAGTTTATTTTAGGTGTCTGAACAAGTGCATTTTAATAATAACTGAAGTGCTACCCACTGGGTAAATGGAGAATCTGGATGAGGAATTTCACTTTAAACTAGAAACTTGGATTTCATCTTTCATTTAACTAAACACAGACAAGGTTTACGACAGCTGCTTTAGGAAGTGGGATAGGGAATCAATTTGAGAGGAATATAATGTCAGCCCTGATGCAGAGCTGACCCAGATGAGAGTAGATGACATAAATTTGTAGCATCCCCACCCAGTCAGCACAATTAAGTGATTTCTTCCTGTTTCAGCATTGCTGATGATTTGGTATCAAGTGAGAGCTCACTATAAAAATACTACGCGTGGGTTCCCCACATCACTAGTATACATATAGGATAAAGGCATGGTTAGACAACTGGGTCATGTGAGGGGAAAAATTGAGTTTTACTGGATTGCCAGATCAGTATGAATGAACAGTGTGAACTGGCCAACTAGATAAGAAAACTGGAAAAAGAAGGAGAAAACAGACGAAATATACCGAAGGGCTCTTTATGGGCTAATAACATTCAATATTCAATTCATTTTCGCGCCTAGTAGAGGAGGGAACAGAATCACACTGGGTTAATCATAGAAGGTGAGTTCTGGAGGTGAATTTTGAAAATGAAAACACAGATTGGAATAAAGGAGAGCCAAGGACATTCCAGGGAGGATGAATTAAATGTGTAATGCACAGAGAAACAGGAAGAAGCTGTTGCTAGTAAAATGAAGCTAGATGGAGGCCACAGAAGGCAGTGATAAGGAATTAGATGGGATGGCATAAATAAGCAAGTTGGCACAAGGTCCTGGATGACAGGCTGAGGTTGGATTTAATCCAAAGGCACTAAGGAGTCATTGTATGTTTTGAAACAGGCAAGTGTCTAATAAATATGCTGGTTGCTGTGTAGAGGGCAGACTGGAGTGGGGAAAGATACGTCTGAAAAGCAGAGAAGAGGCCACTACAAAGCGTAAAGAGGTTGTGTTGAAATCATTAGCAGAATTTGGTAATTCGACAGAATCTTCATCTCTTGTATCCCCTGCTCCCCCTGTCCTATTTCTGATTACTCCACACCAAACCCCAAACCGATGGCTTTCTCACTCTCTACTTCCTAAGCTCTTACTCTCATGCTGACAAATGGAACTGAACAAATCACTAAATTCTGCTAACTAGGGACACTACAAATTCATGCCATCCACTCTCAACTGGGCCTACTCTGCAGCAGGGCTGACATTCTATTCCTCCCAAACTGATTGCCTAGACCACTCCCCAAAGCAGCTGTTCTAAACTATCTCTCTCTTCAAGCCCTTTGCTTCCCCTTCCCCCCTCAGCCAAAAAGCTTGCATCGTACTTTACCAGGAATACCTGAGGCCATTCCTCAGAGCTCCATCTTCTCCCCTCCACCAAATCTCACATCATTCAAACATCCTCCCCCACTATTTCCTCCTTCACTACTGTCTCCAATGAAGTGGCCCTTGTCCTTAACAAAGCTGATCCCTCTACATGCACCCTTGATCTCATCCCCTCCCACCAGGGTACCTCCTTCTTCACAATTTTTTCCATATTCATACCCTCTTCACTCACACAAACCAGGTACAGGCCCTGATCATCTCACCCCTGGGCTGTTGAAATAGCTTCTGGTCAGTGTTCCTGCCTCAAGTCTCTCCACTGCCAAACCTCAGCCATTCTTCAGCTAACTCAGTTAATTTCTGAAAGCAAGGACTATTTTTGCCTTTCATTGTATCCCTTACCTCTGGCATATAGTAAGCACTAAATACATGCTTGTTGACTACATTAACTAATGGCTTGGATGTGGAGAAGGCAAAAGAGAAAGATGAATGACAAATTGACACAGTCAATTTACCCAGAGAACCAGAAGAGTGGTAGTGCTGGTGAAGACAATAACAACTTATATTTCTAATTTTAAGGGCCTTCTTTTTAGATTAGACCTATAATTTCACTGGTATAAGACATTTCTAAAGACGGGCTACCCCGTCTATAGTCATACGAAAAAATGCTCTAAATCATTATTGATTAGAGAAATGAAAATCAAAACAACTCTGAGGTACCATATCACACCTATCAGATTGGTCAACATGACAAAATAGGAAAATAATAAATGTTGGAGAAGATGTGGGAAAATTGGAACACTAATGCATTGTTGGTGGAGTTGTGAAATGATCCAACCATTTGGAGAGCAATTTGGAACTATGCCCAAAGACCTATAAAAATGTGCATACCCTTTGACCCAGCAATAGCACTTCTAGGGCTATATCCCAAAGAGATCATACAAAAGGGAAAAGGACCCACATGTACAAAAATATTCATAACAGCTCTTTTTGTAGTGGCAGAGAATTGGAAATTGAGAGGATGCCCATCAACTGGGGAATGGCTGAGCAAGTTGTGGTATACGAATGTAATGAAATACTATTATGCTATAAGAAATGACGAACAGGCTGACTTCACAAAAACCTGGGAAGACTTGTATGGTCTGATGCTGAGTGAAGTGAGCAGAACCAGGAGAACGTTGTATACAATAACAGCCATGTTGTGCGATGACTAACAGTGATAAACTTAACTCTTCTCAGCAATACAAGGATCTAAGACATCCCCAAAGGCCTCATGATGGAAAATGCTATCCACATCCAAAGAAAGAACTATGGAAGTTGAATTGCTTTTTTTTTTCTCTTCTGTTGAGTTTTGTTTCCTTTTTCTGATGGTTCCTCCTATTGGTTTTAATTTTTACTTACAACATCACTAATGTGAAAATATGTTTAATAGGAATGTAAATGTATAGCCTATATCAGATTGTGCGCCATCTTGGGGAGGGTGGTGTGGAGGAAGGGGGAGAAAAATTTTAAATTCAAAAGCATATGGAAGTGATTATTGATTAATCAAAATAAATTAATAAAAAAAAAAAAGAAATGATGGGGGAAAAAAAGATGGACTACCAATGCCGATCTGAATCTACTCTGTAAATCACACCCTTAGAAAGTTGTTTTGGGCACTGGTTAAATGTCTTACCTATGGATGCACAGCCAGTTTGTGTCAGAGGCAAGACTGGAACTTGGGTCTACTGAATTCAAGTCCAGCTCTCTAGCCACTACACTATGCTACATTTCACTAGTTTATATTTCTATACCACTTCAAGCTTTACAGAACGTGTTTCACATGCCAACCCTATAAAGTAGGTAGTACAAGTATTATTGCCCCATTATACTGAGAGAAATGTTTATTAAATAACCGATTGTTAACACTGGGGAGATCCAAGATTTTTTCCCTTCCTATTTCCTATAATGAGATTGGATTTAACATTCTCCTCTATCTGGTTCAGACCCAGCCCAACTGGGGAAGCCCAAAGTGTTTTACTCAGGCTTGGGTGGGGCCTTGATCCTTTGTTTGGATTGTCAAAACTTGAGGCTTCGGGTGGTCTGGGAGTAAGAGTGACATAATCAAAGTCACATTCCCACTCTCTTATTAGAATAGGTCCACCTCTCACTATAATATTCATTCTTCTCATTAACTGTTAACCAACTGATTGTTAACAAATTGATAACTAGTTAATTGCTGCCTATTGGAAACTCTCACTCTTCCAAGGGCATATAAGCATCATGAAGCCACCATGATCATCTTTAGTTTACAAGAGAAGGTCAAATGACCATTTTTTATTAATTATTCATTAGCCATAATTAATAAAATGACTACCCAGAAATTATGTCTCTTGAATTTTTTATTTATCACAATACTAATGAGGAAGCACTGAGACTCAGAGAGATTAAATAACTTGCCAAAAGTCACACAGCTAGTAATTGGTGGAGAAAGGATTTCATTACAGGTCTCCTGACTCTGAGTCCAGTACTCTTTCCAGCACACAAAGGGAAAACATGCAAGAGGTAGCTGAGTATAGAGTAGAAATAAGAAAAGCTCATTCTGACATGTTAAGGTTGAGAGACATTACACACAGGCATTCAAATAATAATATATTAGGTGTACTTGGAGATAAAGGACAAGTAGACATTGAATATTCCCCTAAAAAACATTTTTTAAAATATCCCTTGATTCTGTACATGTCAGGTCCTATAACCTTCTGGATATCGTTCAGCCTCAGCAAGAGCCCCCAGTACTGAATCTACAAAATGTGCCAACACAGGATGAGCACAAAGAAAAGTTTTCGCTTCATCTTTGAATTTAAATTGTGCTCAAGCAATAATTGTCCTAGACATAAAATCAGCGAATTTATCAGCTGATGACAAAGCCTGAACAAGGAGAATAAAAACCAGAAAGAACCTTCTCCATTTCTAAGAGGAGCTTGTTTAGTTGTCATGTCTCTGAAGAAAGGACAAACCTACTTCTTCAAGAAATGAGTTTGGCCCTGGCTCTCTGG